TTGCTTTGGGTTGCAGTGTGTGTAGAAGGGTCCTCTCTCCTCTTGCCCCCTGTGTCTCTCCAGGCCACTACCCTGCTGCTGAAGAGTCATTCATGAATCTTAACCTGCGGGCAGGGAGGAATTTGCAGGTCCCACTCCACTGCCTTTTCTGCCAAGGTGCAGAATAGCTACCGAGCGTGTGTTTTGGTTCCTGCGAGTTCCACGTGGAGCACCTCCGTGTGCGTGTGTGTTGCGTACTTGATCTGTGAGGAGGTAACAGGAGTCTCGTGTTCAAACCCAGTGGGCCGTTGGCCATTAATTTGCTTTCCTGGCTGTCATTACAGACACTTCCAAAATCTGATACCTAAGAGAACCAACAGGTTAGGTTTCACATTAAGAGCTCATACTTAACAGTTTTCTTTCTCCCTTACCCCTTTTGGCTTGGCACCCTGGGATCAACGTAATTGTTGGAGCGAAATATATCTTCGCGAATATAGCATTTTGTTCCTCTTCTCATCAGAGGCCACTTTTTGCACCCTCAAGCGTTTGTCAGTTTCAGTGTGGGCTCCTGCGGGACTTACCTGGGAGTTTTAGGAGCGTTTAACAACCCTGGGCTTCCCATCAGCAGCTTCTGAGGTTTCATTTACACATAGGTGACTGACAGGATTGAAAGTTGACTATGTTTTTTTGTTTCTTGGGTTGTTTTTGGTTTTATTTTTAAAGCCTCTTCAGAATTGTACTTGAGAACTTTTCTTGGGTAGAGCTTGGTTTTAAGCAGAAACATTGCTTCTTGTTCTTTTTTTCCTTTTATCTTTGTCTTCTAAAATATTTTTGGCCAATTTATACCTGAAGAACCAAAAAGCAAGAAAGGGGGTGGGAAGAGAATTCTTAAACAAAATATTGGATACATGATAGGATGTATTTTAGGAGACTGAATTCAAAGACATTTGTATATTTCTAAAAATACCATTATCCGAGGAATAAAATCAATAGTAACAAGAGACAAACTGTTTTGTGTGGAGTAGACTGCCAGAATCTGATTTTTATAGCCACAATACCAAATGCAGATATAACTACACCCACATTGTTGTTATTATAAACCATAAAAATAGTTTGTTCCACCTGATTAAAAGTTGTAAGTCCTTCAAAGTTAAACCAATTTTTAGAAATGACTGTATAAAAAAGTAAAAACCTTTGACAGTTACAACTTTGAAAGTACCATAATTAGATTAGTTGGAAATTGTTCCTTTTTCTGATTATTAGGGATATGTCTTTATTTTTCATGATAAACAAAGGTCTAAAATTAATGTAGTAGCTTCCAAAAGCCTAATTCCCTTTGTAAATTGCCTCAAAATAATATGTTTTAAAATGTTAAGTCCATCATAATTAGAGGTTATTTTACAATTACGATTGAAATAAAGATTTATTTGATTATTCTTTTTATTAGTATTTATTTTATTAAGTATTAGAAATTTATTCTCTCATTTCCAAAATGAAGAGTTTTGTGTGTATATATATATACATATATATATACACACAACTAATATTTAAGTAATATGATTAAGTTTTACATTTTTGAAAACCCTATATAGCATTTGTATAAAAAGAAACTGGTTCAAAAATAGTATTTTTCGATTAGAAATACAGATGCTAAATTGTAGAAGATTTCTAGATGCTAGATAAAAAATTTTATTTGAACAAAAGTTTTTTGAGGGAAGAGTGGCTTATGGGTGGTTTGTTATTTTATTCTAACTTTTTTTTCTTATAGAAAAATTCTTTGGGTTTAAACACAAAAAAATCCTCCCGTTTCTAAGAGTTTCCTTTTTATTTATATTGTGATTTGAGTTGTAAATAAATTTTACATAGCCACGGGAAATAGAGTGTCCAGTTTCATGTTTTCAATCTCTGTTGCAAGTTCTAAATGACTGATGTCGTATCTAAAAATATATTTGCGGCTTGATATTTTATTTTAAAAATTTTATGCCCTAGAATTAAATGATCTAGAATGTTTAGAAAGGTAGACTAATACAAAAAACATAACTATTATTGTAAGACATTAGGATGGTGAAAACTTTGCATTCTAACTTTTAAAGAACAAAATCAAACTTATTTCACCCAGTGGAACCTCACACATATTATACAGAATTCAAGAAGAGGGGAGATAATCCCTTTCAAGACTTAGTGAAGTGTTAAGTAATTTAAGAACACAAGTATTTATTATACTTTTTCATTATCTTTTTTTTTTCTATTAGGTAAATGCAAGAACACTGAACATTCAGTTAAAACAGGCCCCCTTTATAAGGAGTTTATTCACCATAGTTCTGTATTGCAGCTGCTGATCATATTTCATGGAGCTGTTAAAGCACTTAAAACCTAAAATTAGGTACTGTCTGGTTGTAAATATTTCAGATCACTCATTTAAGAAATAAATAGAAAAGTGTGCTATCAAAAGTAGATGTTTTGAATCTGCTAATTGAAGAAAGAACTGAACAAACCACCATCAAACACCTTTTTTTTTCCTGTGAGAATATAATCCTGTCCGTTTCTTTTTCAAATGGATATTTTTCTTACATATGCTTAACTTATAATGTGTCTCCCTGTAGAGTATCTTAAACTAATTGTACACAGAAATACAGTTGGGGGGTTTTATTACAATGGTTACTAGGTGAAGGAAATCAACACCAGGGGGAATGGGATGACTGCAGTGTACCTGCGTCTCATGAATTTTTCCTGGTGAAGTAAGAAGCGACGTTCTCTTTCAGGCATTTGTCTTAGAGGTGGGTGAGATGCAATGGTGTGTTTAATCGCAGTGTGTGCAGTACTGCATTAATAAGTGTTTTAACATAGGGGAAAGTGAATATTCATTTAAATTGTACATGAAGCCAAAATATAGCCTACACTTGAGTGGAAGAAAATAAACAAGAATCACATTTGCAAAAGCAGTCCAAGCAGCTTTGATTGCTTTTAAGAGGTTTGAGGACTTTGTAAATATTACTCTCAAGTCATATTGCAGAAGGTACTGTGCATGCGTGTATTCCTTCATAATAGGTCTTAAAGTTTGTGATTCTTACTATCTCCTCGTCCATGTTTTTAGTAGAGTAGAGATACTGAAAATGATACTGAAAAGGATACCACTATCCTGACAGCTCTTACTGGTTTCCCTCTTCCAGGAAAGAAAGAAAGAAAAAAAAACAGAGATCAAACCGATTAATTGAAAAATAGAAACCATTTTGATTTATCAAAACCACATTTGTGTGGTGGTTTAAAATAGTTTCAGAGACTGTGAATCTGTCTCAAAGTAACCTTTCCTGTCATTGAAAGGTGCTAATTGATCTTAGGGCACTGACATAATAGTATAGTTTGATATTTGAAACTTTTCAGCCTTGGTCTGACTATTTTTCTCACCCTGAGATCTCAATGCATGACTGATGAAGAAAGACACCACATTAAAATATCGCAAATTCTATTTCTTTTTCCTGTATGAAGTATTTAAATGCAATGTATTGGTTTTTAAAGTTTTCATTTACATTCATAAAGTAAGTTTATTTTAATGTACTTTTATGGATCACGGGAAAAAGCTAATATTATTATATTAAGACTTAAATTTTTTTTCCTCGACAGGTAGTTTTTGTGTGTGTGTGTGTGTGGTTTATGCTATAGGACATGTGCATTCACTGGAGAGAGAGAGAGACAGAGAGAGACCGTGAAAGTCAGAAATCACCCCTCCAAGGGGGATAGTTACACTGCAGTTCCTTCTCCATTCTTTTTGGGGCATGTACGCAAGTGCCGAACGTGTTTTTTAGGCCGCTGGTTTTGGGACTGAAAACCCCTCAGTAAGCCATATGGGATCTAGCTGCATTAACCTCCACGCCACCTACTGGTCTCCTTTTAAGGGTAGGTTTTTAAGTTGACAGTTTTAGGCAAAAGTTGATTATTACTGTTATTACATATTTTCAAAGTGAAGTTGTATTAAACTGATAGAGAATAACCATCTTGAGATTTCTAATCTAAGTGTATTTTCTTAATTATAGTCATATCTGAAAGTATATTTTTAAATAAAAGTTGTCAGTTGTATAGTTGCAGTTTTGCCATTTGCTTGTATAGGTCATCATTAATTGCTTTCACCATCATAACAGTTGCTGAGGATTTACTTTATGCAAAACACTTGTTTTTAGTATTTCTGTGAATTAGCTCATTTTAATCTTCTCAACTATGCCATAAATTTGTGTTGTTTTCTTTTCTTTTCGAGAGGGTCTT